ATATTCTGATCTCTTTCTCCTTCCACCTGTTTTCTTGCTCATATCCTAATTGCCAGAACCCAGAAATTCAGTGGGCAAAGAAGCTTTTGCTGCTTTCAGCCATTTAGAATTTTCTCCAGGGCATTGAGAGAGATAGAGGAAGGTGGGACATGAAGAAAAAAATATGTATGTGTGTGTATATGTATATACGTGTGTGTGTGTGTGCGCGCGTATATATATATATATATATATATACACACATATATATATATACACACACATATATATATACACACACACACATACCTAGATATATCTAGCTCAGTTCCACCACTATAACGACGTTAGGTTTTACCCTGTTGACTGTCTTTCTTCTTGTAAAGTTGAGATGTTTATGTGTCCTTGTAACTTTCACATATTTATTCCAATTCTGATTCCTAATCTCCAGAGTATGATTTGATATGTCTTAGATATTTTAGTGTGCTCATTGTTTTCTTCTCATATTCATCTTTTCTTTAGTCTTAACTCTCCCAGTCTTCTCAAGAGTTTCTCATGTAACATGTTACCTGGTGGTTTAGATTCTATATTTCACAAGAGGTTGGAAGTGAGCCTAGTTAAATTAGATAAAATTACTCTTGAAAATTCTTTAATTTATTCTTACAACATGCACACATCTCTTAGTGTGTGAGATATTAAATTGAAGACCCATGACAAAAACAACAAAAGTGAAGTTTATACACAGATGTCTGGGCATTCAAGCCATTTTTCCTATGTTCAAATGCATAGTGGTGAATGAGGAATGAATGGAAAATTCTAAAGTGTTCCTAATTGCCCACAGGGTTTACTTCTAAATATTTTAATATCAAAGTCCTATAAGCTTAAACTACCTATGTTTGTTTCTTGTAAAGATTAAATAAGTGAGTGAAATCATGTCTTTGGGGAAGATAAATTAATACATAAGCTAAATGTGTATATGTTATATTTCTTATATTTCTATCATATATTGTATTAACTCTCTTCCTAATTCTAATAACCCTTTTTTGGAACTCTTATTTTTCAATATTCCTTTTACAACAATTTTTATTTTGACTTAGTAATGATACCCTAGTTGTGAATTCCCCACCTAAGAGTGTGGTGAGAGTAATATTTCAACCTATTGAAATCAAATGGAAAGAAATGAGATATATAAGACAAAGTCTTCAAACATTGGATAAATCATCATCTCCATGGGACAATGTAGAAAAGAGACTTTCATTACACAGATGTTGGAATTAATGGCCACAAGAGTATTTTAATTCAATATAATCAACAAATATTCATTGATTATGTGTTAGGTGACCAGCACCGTAAAACAAAGTCATAATTACTAAGTAATGCATGATCGCTCACCTCAAGGATTGTGCAGGTTAGTGGATGAACAATATGTGTGCCAGAGTTAGGGGTGAGATTTGAAAAAGATGAATAGTGCTACAAAAGAACTGGTACAGTCTTCCCTAGACACGAAGGCAAGGTATGTACAGGTTAGAAATTCTTCATAGAAAATATAACACTTAAGAATCTTGAAGGAAAGGAGTGAGCAAAGGACACTACGGAGAAAAAGAGTTATCAATATTGTCATATGCCTGAGGTTAAAAAAGTACATGAAGTCATTAAACGACTCATTAAACTTAGTAATTAGGTGTCCATGATAAACTTTGCCAGGGATGTATCAGTGGTGACATTGCGGCAGAAGTTCCATAGTGCACTAAAAGGTGATTGTGGTCTGGGGAGACAGAGAGTAGTCTTATATGTAAACTGTTCTTTCAAGGTTCTTTCTTGGATCAGAAGATAGGCAGGATCAAAGGGTCCAAAGAGTCTATTTTGTTATTGTACATAGACAGGTGATCACAAGGAGCCCGTAAGAGGGAAGAAGTTACAAAAGCAAGAACAGGAGTACCAGTGGAGCATGTCTTGACATGACAGTGTGAAAAGTCAGATAATTAGTATAGGAGGAGGAATGAACGTTCCTTGGAAAGGTGACTTTTTTGAGAACAGGAGAAATAAGGAAGAGTGAATTCAGCTTTAGATTAGTTTGTAGGTATAAATGCCGAAGAAGTTAACTTCTGATAGTCTAGCTGTTTTCTGTTAGTTTTTGGATATTGACAATGGTTGCAATTGTTATTATAGAGATCAGATAAGAAGTTGGTAAATGAGATAGAAAAGGTTGCTGGAGGCCTCTGAGTTGCTTTGAGCAGAATAGTGTTTCTTGTGTGAACAAATGTGAACCTGAAAGAGCCAATCCTTCACAATGGATCCTGAGTGGTAACTAGGCCTAAATTTAAAATAGATCTAGGCCGGGCGCGGTGGCTCACGCCTGTAATCCCAGCACTTTGGGAGGCCGAGGCGGGTGGATCACGAGGTCAAGAGATCGAGACCATCCTGGTCAACATGGTGAAACCCCGTCTCTACTAAAAATACAAAAGCTAGCTGGGCATGGTGGCGCACGCCTGTAGTCCCAGCTACTCGGGAGGCTGAGGCAGGAGAATTGCCTGAACCCAGGAGCCGGAGGTTGCAGTGAGCCGAGACCGTGCCATTGCACTCCAGCCTGGGTAACAAGAGCGAAACCCCTTTCCCAAAAAAAAAAAAAAAAAAAACAGAGCTAAATGCTCATGTGCTGAGTAAAGGTTACAAACATACTCTGAGCTCCCACAAATCCCACACCATTTTATCCCTGGAACTTTTAGAGTCCACTGGCTTTGGCCAATCAGGACTCAGCTGCATCAACCAATCAGAAGTCAGCTGCATTTACCAATTAGAACTAAGCACTTGTATTCTTTATGTGCATAAAAAGACCTGATTGGGAACCTGGGAAAGAACTTTTGCTGTAAAACCTAAACCCTCTCTTTGTTCTGTGGAATACACCTTCCTTTTACACTAAAGGCTGTTTTGCAAACTCTTCACTGTGAAAAAATGTCTCTTTCCTCCAAATTCCTTTTCAGAGAACTTTTGTTCACATCTGAAAATTTCAGGTGAAAGTAGTAACCCTTCAGTACCATAGAATGTGACTGATCCGGAGATAAGGATATTTACAAAGATGATTAAGTTAAAATGAGGTCGTTAGAGTGGGCCCTAACCCAATATGACTAGTGTTTTTATAAGAAGAGGAAACTTGTATGCAGATACATATGTAACAGTATGCATACCTAGAGAGGGAAGATGATGTGAAGACACAGGGAGTAGACAGCCATCTGTAAGCCAAGAAGGGAAACGAAATAAATTCTCCCTCATGGCCTTCAGATGAAACCAACCCTGCTGATTTTAATTTTGAACTTCTAGTCTGCAAAACTGTGAAAAAACTCAAGTTTGCTATTTAAACCAGCCAGTCTGTGGTACATTATCATGGCAGTCCTAGCAAATAAACACAAGGGTTAACTAAAAATAAAAGCATATTTTTGTAGTAATATATTTTTTTTTCTTCAAGATTTGGTGCCCCAGATACAGATGCAGAACATTTATGTTCTGTGTAGCATGTAGCATGCTATTAAAAGAAACAGAATATGTGTTTGTCAATTGCCTTCACAGGGAAAAAGACAAAATATCAAGATAATGTCAAGTTTGGAAATATTCATATACATATTTAACCTCATTTTGCATATGTGTATATAAATATAGTTATATATGTCATATATGATATATCTAGATAATGATGTTAATTTGTTATATCATCTATCACTTATGTATTTAAGTCCATAATTAACACAAAATTTAAATTGCACAAAAGAAAATTGGAAAAATAAGAAAGAAGAGTGACATAAATGCAGTTAAATAGGAAGGAAATAACTAGATATTTATTGAAGGCCTATCCTTAGACAGTATGTTAAATGCTTTTACACACATTACTACATTTACTCCTTAAAATAGTCACCAGGTTTCATGTTGTCATTTTTACAAATGGGGAAATTAAATCTCAGAAAAAGATAAGTAACTCACCAAAATCATATAGCTATTATATATCAGAGCTGGGATTTGGATGTAACTCACTAGCTTTAAATAACTGTACAAAAGGTATCACAATGGACTACATAATTAATTGCCGGTGAGTCATTTTTTTTCCTTGGCTTTCCTGTTTGTTTTCTATTAAATAATTACACAACATTAGATGAAAACAAACTCAGACTTTATTTTAATTCATTTTAATTATTAATAGGCAACAGGAAATCAGGTGAGGCTCCCAATAAGTTACTGTGTATTAAATCATGGTTGAGAACTTCAAATAAGACGTGATTCTTAGAAGTGGTGAAATAATGAACAGATTATGTTAGATTACATTTCATATTATCTGCTGTGATAGTTACAGCAGTATTGGTAAAAATAATCAAACCTTGTGGTTAATAAAATGAATAAACTTTTAATAGATGTAGTAAAAGAAATTTTTATATCTAGAAAAACATACAAATTAAGTTTAATATACACCATTATCATTAAACATCTGTAAAATATGTTTTTGAATTATAATGATAAGAGCAATGTACATTCTTTGAAATATTTTACACAAAGGAATAGTATAATAGTAAAGTTGCTTTTCCCTCTTGGCTGGTCACTATTTAGAAGCAATATGATATGTTCCAGTGAATCCCCTAAATTTCCGGAAGGAACAAAGGATGCATCCCTTCTGTCTTCATTATGTAGCAGCACATTATAGCATCATGAACACTGGGGTTCCTGCCATTATAGTAATTCCTTTCTTTGTCTGCCAGTCTACCAGCATGAAGACTCAAATGACCACACAGCTGCTCAGTTTTGGATTTGGTAGAACCCTTAACAAGGATGCTGGTTAGAATAGCTTTCCTCATCCCTACTCCAGGAACGAGGACCGTTAGTCCAGAAAAGCCTAAAGTTGTAGTAATGAAATCACTAATTATCCCACATAGATAAATGCAAATTATAATTAGAAGTACTAATCCTAATTTCACCATTTCAGCCCCAGACTCATGTTTTCTAGCTGTTTTTTTTTTTTTTTTTTTTTTTTTTTATGAATGAGAGGTTCTCATGTTGCCCAGGCTGGTCTCGAACGTGTAGCCTCGCCTCCTCAAGCGCCAGGACAACTGGCCAGAGCCACCATAGCTCCCCTCTTTTCTTTTAAATGTTGAGTGTTTATTCAGAAAAGTACACAGTGGGTATGGGCAAGCTTTATTACACATGAACTTGATTTCACAGAATTAGAATGGCCATATCACTTACAGTCTTATACAATAATGGCCATTAGTTAAATACTATACTTTTCCTAGAAGGACAATGTCCCAATCTCTGATATGTCACTTCCAAGTTGGTGCTTAGCTCTGCCCTCAGGAGACCACATGATGTATGGTAGGAACAGTACATTCCTTGGTTATTCATCATTGTCACCTCTCCTTCTAAAACCTCCTCCTAGGACCCTCGGTCCTAGGAGATGTTTTTCAAGATTTTATAAACCCATGAGTGGTGGTGCAGTGCAAGGTGCTGTGGGAAAGACAGACAGTTCTATGCCAAGAATAATTCAAGTCAGGCCAAATTACTACTCCCTTTAGTAGGTAAGTGGTCTGATGTTTTCAACCTGCCTCCAAGTGGCTAGTTGGTCTCTTTGATGGATGGTACCATCATCCATCAAGGACTCAACATCGATCTCTGCTTTTGACAGATCTGACATTCAGTATCAGCATTACCTAATACTGATTAGCACAAGGGAGCCCATGGTATTTGGCTCATGTGTATTTTGACACCATGGCTTATTTATTTTTGAGTTCAGTGCTCAAGCACTGGGGTGTATGAGGACAGAGGCTGGCAGAGCTTCCCTTGATGAGCCATCTAGAATTCTTTTTCTCTAATCTTCCAATATGGCTAGTTGCTCTTACCAACCAGCAGAGTCATTTACCACTGTCCACTGTATATTACTCATTGAGGAAACTGTCCAGGTGTCCTGTTAAAAGTTCTGCCAATATGGAAGATTTCTCCTCACCATTGTCTGTCAAGGGCCAACCTGAGAGAAATGTAATGTGAAAGCAGTCCATATTTTACTCACTACAACTATTGTGACTCATCCATGAACAAAGCTTAAGGTTTTTTTTTTTTTTCCTCTACTAGCTGATTATGAGGAACTTCCTTAAAATATGGGTGTAAGCTAAGACAGGTGCTGACATAACAGAGGTAAGAAGGCAGTCTTGCACCCTTAGAACATCTCATGCCCTACTTTGAAGATGTCATTTCCATTATATAATTTGGTTGATCTGACAGTAACCAGCTTATTAAAAGTGGTGCTAGTTACATTATCACTTAATGTCTTTTATGGTCAGGACACCAGCCTTTGCTAGGGACATAGAACATGCAGCAGTTTCTTTACTAATGGTGAGTAGATCTCTGTTGCAGACAGCTTTGCTCCAGGATCTTGGAGATCTATGCTGCAACTTTCTATATAGGGCTTGTCAGAAATTGTACATGAGTTCTTTTTTTTTTTTGAGACGGAGTTTCACTCTTGTTACCCAGGCTGGAGTGCAATGGCGCAATCTCGGCTCACCGCAACCTCTGCGTCCTGGGTTCAGGCAATTCTCCTGCCTCAGCCTCCTGAGTAGCTGGGATTACAGGCATGCGCCACCATGCCCAGCTGATTTTTTGTATTTTTAGTAGAGACGGGGTTTCACCGTGTTGACCAGGATGGTCTTGATCTCTTGACCTCGTGATCCACCCGCCTCGGCCTCCCAAAGTACTGGGATTACAGGCGTGAGCCACCGCGCCCGGCCACATGAGTTCTTATCTACCATAAATAACTTTAGAACCAGGAGGTCTACTGCATTACATGTATCAGGGACAGGTATGCTTGTATTGCATTTTGAACATGTTGGAGAGATTCTTTTTGCTCTGGGATTGACTCAAAACTTATATCCATTCATGTCATCCAATAAATGAGATGGAGCAGTATTTCAAAGTGTTGAATGTGCAGTTTCCAAAGTCTAAGAGGTCTACTAAATGCTCTATTGCTTTTTTCAGTTGTATGTGTTTCAAAATGCAATTATTTCAATTTCCCATGGATGATATAGTAGCTTTTAAAAAGCTGCAATTTTTTTGCTGTGCCTTTCATTTAGAGATTAAATCAAATTATCTTTCTTTTGAATTTGGGCTTGCTCTAGTTACTTATTTAATCAATGTAATGTAGCTGAAAGATGGGGCTTTTGAAGCCAGTGATAAGTAGGTTGTAGCTTTTGTCTCAGGCCTCTTGAGACAATCCCTATTGGAATCTAGTTGACATGTTAGGAGAAATCCCAAGAAGCCCCAAGGAGAGCTCCATGTGAAAAGCAACCAAAATCTACAGCCGACAATTTCAGCTGAGTTCACGGCCAATCAGCAGCCTCAACTTGATAGCCATGTGAATGCACTTCCACCCCAAGATGATGCTACATTGAGCAGAGATGAGCTGTTCTGGCCATTTCCTGCCTGAGTTTAATATTCATGAACAAAATAAATGATGGTTGTTTTTCTAAGTTAAAAAGTAGTTCTATATGCAGCAATGGATAATTGGAACAGAATATCTTAGCATGTCTCATAGCACAGGATTGCTAAATACTTCAACAATGTGACAGGCACCTGAATGCTTTTAGGATTTATTTCCCACTCTCTGCTATACATGTGGCTTACCATGATGTAAACAATACATGAAAGTTTCTGCTTACACTTCTGATTAATGTGATGTCATTTGTGTCATGAACCAACGTGATGTTTTGCAGAATGTCATACAGACCAACTGGGAAAGTACAGTATCTCCTATGGGAAGAAACAGGAAATTCACTAAAAATTAACTAAAATTAACATTTTTTGCTAAAAGTAACATTTTCTGGAAGGACACTGGAGAATGTATCTGGAAACAGATCTTGGGGATATGGAAATGGAAGGGCAGAATATAAAAGTGGATACTAGAAAGTGTTTTTTTGTTTGTTTGTTTGTTTGTTTGTTTTTTTCTATAAAGCCACTCTCACATACCTCATGATTTAATAGCGTATCATTGATACCTGGATCTGGTCTTCATACATTGGTGGGATCACTTCTTGAAGCTTGGATAAAACAATGACCCATGGTAAAAATGTGGAGATGCTGAAATATACAATCATACATAATAAAATAATTCATTTACAAATAATTTGAAATAAGGCAAGACTAAATAAATCATGGTTAAGTGAATAATTCTTGAAACTAATGGAGTTGGATATATGGACATGTAATTTTTTAAAAAAATTATAGTCTACGTCCTTTTGGTAGTGTTCTCTTTATTTGCAATGTTAGAATAAACCAATTGTTGATCTTATGCAATTTTCCAAAGAGATGGTTCATTTGATTTTTTAGACTATTTCACTCTGTGAAGTAGTAAAGAAAAGGTGTTCATATTCAGTAGGCTTTAGAATGGTTCGTAAGAAAGAAATACATATTCAATGCAGTCATGGTTTTGTTTCATTTCCTGTTATGTCTGCATTTGGATTTTAAAATAAAATTATTCTATATTCAAATTCTTCAGTAACTGATGAGAGAATTCTCATTTTCATGCATTATTTGTGCATATTGAAAATTATTTTTAAAACCAGACATTAAGTTGAAAGAAATGGAAAATGGAAATTAGCGCATTAAAGGAAAAGAGAAGCCCAAAACCATGAAGACATCCAGGAATGAAATCTTTCTTTAGTTAGACATCTAAAGCATTCATTCATTCATCCATTCATATACCATATATTCTTTCAATAAATACTTATTGGGCATCTCCCAGACACTGAAGATTCACCAGTGAACAAAATCTACATGCTCTCTCCTTTCGTAAAGCTATAGTCTAGCAAAAAGAAGTATATTAAAAAGTTACAACATAAATTATTTAATTAAAACTGTGAAAGTGTTATAAGAACTGCAAAGAGAGCAACAGACTTTTAAGCAATCTTTTCACTTCTGCCATTGCCCTCTAATAATTCTTATGGTCTTTTCACACCACACCACACATGTGTGATCCTTTGAAAATATGTCATAGCTCTGTTCAGAATCTTCCAATAGCTTTCTGTCTCACTTATGGAAAATTCCTATTTTGATTAGGTGTTGCAGAGTAACAAACCACACCAAAACTTAGTGGCTTAAAATAACAATTTTTTACCTCTAGGGTTCTGTGATTGGCTGCATTCAGATGTATGGGTCTTGCTTTAGCTCTTTCATGTGATTGCAGTCAAATGCTGCTAGGGCTGGATTCATAAGGCTTGAACAGTTCATGTAACTGGACATCCAAGATGACTTCGTCATTCACAGATCTCGTGACTTAGCTGTGATGGCTGAAGCAGCTGAGCGCTGGCTATGTTCTTTCTAAACATGTGGACTTCCTATTGCCTTACTTGGACTTTCTCAATAACATGAAAATCTCAAGATAGACCTCTTACATGTGGTTAGCTTCCCCAAGAGTAAGCATTCCAAGAGACACAGGTAGAAGCAGTACTTTTTATAACAAAGTAATGCATGACACACTACTAGTTACACAGGGCCAGGCTAGGTTCAATACAGAAGGGAGCTTCACAAAAATGTGATTACTTGGAAAGATGGTTCCCTTTGGAACTAACTTCTACAAATTCAAAACCTTTTAAATGATGGAAAGGTCTTGAAATTTTTGGTTTTGCTGTTACTGAAACACCAGGGGTTCTGGCTAGGTCCTGCTGCATACCACACAGAAAGCCAATAACTGAGACAATGAATATTTCCAAGGAAGAAGGCTTTAAGCAGGTGCTGCAGCCAAGGAGGTGGGAGATCAGTCTCAAATCCATCTACCTGACAGAGTAAAAATTAGGAATTTGTATAGCAGGGAAGAAATTTGGGAGGGGTAAGGAGGAAATAATGATGAATGAGGGGCCTGTTGTCTCATTGTCTAGATGCAATGATCTGGTGAGTTTCATTTCTTTAATACTTTTTGAGTGGTCTGATGGTCTTTTCCTAAGGAAGAAGCTAAGATAAAACAAAGGTGAATTTCAAGCCTTAAGACAAGAAGCGTCAATTTATGTTTATTGAGGGGAAAAAAAAACTCACCAAACTGTCTATGGGACTTTCGGGTTGGTTTCAACACTTAGCCATTACTTCTGTCTTGATT